CGGGAGCCGCCCCGAGGCTCTGCCCGCCCCGGCCCCGCAGCCGGAGCCTGCCGGTGTTGGGGGGAGGGGGAGGAAGGCGCCTGGGGCCGGGCAGGAAAGCGGCTCTGCCCCCAGGGCTCTTTCAGGGACCGGCGGACAAGTTGGTCCCAGCTGGGGGCCCTCCCCTGGAGAGGGGGGAGGATGAAAAGGGGGCAGGGGAGGGACTGGAAGGGGCAGCAGGAGCAAGAAGTGAGGAGGGAGGCTCCTAGCTCCGCCCAGACCCATCCCTGGGCCGCCTGACTCTCCGGGGATCCTGGGAAGTGGTGAGAAAGGAAAAGCCACTTGCTGCTCCTGCTGACACAGCCCTACTTAGGGGGAAGAGGGAAGTTAGAGGGGGGTTACACTAGTGTTCTGCACCTTTTTTGGCTTGCCAGGAGAGTTTTAAAATATCCCCGGTAGGTTTAGTTCTGCTGGGTGGTAATAAACTAATTTTTTTTTCTCACCACAGCCCAGTCCTGAGCTCTGTCTGTAAGGAGACAGCTTGGGAGGAATCGGGGTGTGAAATGGACTCACACCCTGCCTGACACCCGCCTGGCCCTGACAGGCTGAGGAATGGTGTCCACGTTTCACTGGTCTTACATAACCTAAGAACATAAGAACGGCCGTACTAGGTCACACCAAAGTCCAACTAGCCCAGTAGCCTGTCTGCCAGCAGTGGCCTGCTCCAGATGCCCCAGGGGGCGTGGACCGAGGACAATGATCAAGCGATTTGTCTTGTGCAATCCATCCCCAGCCTCTGACAAACAGAGGCCAGGGACACCATTTCTGACCCCTGGCTAATAGACTGGTTTATGGACCTAACCTCCATGAAATTATCTAGCTTCTCTTTAAACTCTGTTATAGTCCTAGCCCTCACCTCCTCCTCTGGCAAGGAGTTCCACAGGGTGACTACACACTATGTGAAGAAGAACTTTCTTTTATTAGTTTTAAACCTGCTACCCATTAATTTCATTTGGTGTCCTCTAGTTCTTCTATTATGGGAACTAATACATAACTATTTTTTTATTCATCCTCTCCACACCACTCATGATTTTATATACCTCTATCATATCCCCCCTTAGTCTCCTCTTTTCTAAACTGAAAAGTCCGAGTCGCTTTAGTCTCTTCATATGGGACCTGTTCCAATCCCCTAATCTTTTTAGTTGCCCTTTTCTGAACCCTTTCCAAGGCCAAAATATATTTTTGAGGTGTGGAGATCACATCTGTACACAGTATTCAGGATGTGGGCGTACCATAGTTTTATACAGGGGCAGTAAGATATTCTGAGTCTTATTTTCTATCCCTTTCTTAATAATTCCTACCATTCTATTTGCCTTGTCTTCAGATTATCCCGTCTTCTCAGGGCTGGGCAATGGCCGGGATGGAGCCAGTTCAGGTAGGGGGTTTCCAGGAGTTGCTGGGCGGGAGGAGGGAAGAGACAGGGTGGGATAAAGCTGCTGAGTTTCTGAGCAGCCCCATCGGGGCAAAGGTAGGAGTGGGGCACATCCCTCCTTATTTTTCACACAGGATACAACCCCCCTGGGCAAGGCTGGGAAAACGGAGCAGGGTCCCATGTCCGGCATCTGACCCCACTGGGTGCTGAGAAATACCCTGGGAAGCTGCCTGGGATCCTGTCCTTCTACCGTTTCAGAAGTTTGCTCTCTGTATCAGCCTGTGGCGGGCAGGCATGTGACCCTGCCTTCCTCTGTCGGTGGGAAGGGACAATTTGCTCTCATCTCCTCCCACCCCTGAAGACTCCTGGCTGCTCTGTCAGCATTGGGGTGGGATTTGGCTACTCTGCCACCGTCAGAGAGCTTGAAGTAATTTTTTTTCCATCACATGATTAGCAGGATTGTGGCTGGGGCTGAGCGGGCGAGGAGGTGGCTGTGTATTTCACCCCGGGGCAGGGGGCGCTGCTGGGCCCCGCTCAGAGAGCCCTCTACAGGGACGTCATGCAGGAGAACTACGAGGCGGTGACCTCGCTGGGTAAGGGCGTCCTGGCCCCTCGGGGATTAGGAGCCGTGGGGTCTGCGTGTCCGACACGGGTCAGGTTCTTCCCTGCTCAGGTGGCCTGGACAGGAATGGGTTCCATGGGCACAGCTGCCGGGGGAGAGCGACTTGTGTCTTTGTACCCTTTCCAATGGGTCAAAAATAATGGACATGCTAAACTTTCCCCTCCTCTCTCCTCCCTTCCAAGTTTCTGTCTGTCTGTATCGATTGCCATTCACACGCACAATCCTGATTTACCTTCCATTTTGGAACCAGCTCCAGCTATAGGGCAGGCTCTGAGCTCTTCAGGTTTAGAAACAGGCAGGGGTTTGACTGCAGAGCTGTTTGTGTCAGCAAGGGCCCCAGACTGCCCAGATCCTGAGAACTCCTAGTGAGGGCGTCACAATTCCTCTCACCTCCCCACACGTCTGCCTCTCCCCAGGGGGCTCAGTGACCATGTTTCCGTCCTCTTGGATTGCACATTCCCCAGCAGAGCCCGGGGACAGGTTCCACGCACGGAATGTCCCTTGGGACAGACGCTCTCCCCACCCTCCCCGTGCCCTGATCTGCTCTGATTTCACCCCCTGCGCAGGGTTTCCCGTTCCCAAACCTGAGCTGATCGCCCGGCTGGAACGAGGGGAAGAGCCCTGGGTGCCCGACTTCCAGGCTGGCGAAGAAAGAGAGATCCTGAGAGGTACCTGCACAGGTGAGGACTGACATAGTGACCATCTGATGGAGAAAGGAAAAAGTTGAGATTACCAATAATGTACTGTGAGTAAGTGTTCTGCCTCCTTTTACACAGGGCAGGGTGATAATCGCTTACGTTTCCCACCAGTCCTGATAGCTGCAGGAGTTTTCTTCCCAACTCTTCTTTCTCTGTGAGTGTTTGTGTGGGAATTGGAGGCAGAATCCAGTAGCTCAGTCTATTCCAGTGTTTCTTAAACTGTGTTCCTTCAGCTGGAGGTGTGCTGCAGAGAACAGAATTCAAAATGGCTGTCCTTAAAGCGGCAGGCGACCTTTTTTTTGTCGATAATTTCCCCCAACCTTTTTTTCTTTTTTTTTTTTTTTTGCTGAACCAGAAATCCTTGGTGTTCCTCATACAAAAAAATTATTATCTGGTGATCCTCAGTTTAAAAAAGATTAAGAAACACTGGTTGGTTCCAAATCACTGTGTTGGGTTTTCCCCTCCGTGCTGTTCCTCTCTCTCTCACCCCCAGCACAATAACTCCTGTCTAGATTAGGGACATGAAAGGTTTTCCAGTTAACCAATGAGGGCTAGAGCAACCCCTGTCCACAGCATTCCCGTGCATGCTACAGGCACGGGCTGCTCCGGCCAGACTGAAGCGTTCCCTTCCTCGCCCGCTTCCCCTTCAGTCAGGAGCTGGTTAAATAACACATTTCACTGGATAACCAGTTAACTGGCATTTTAAATCCCTAATCTAGATTTTCTGTCTTTCTCTCTCCCAGCAGGTGGTGAGAGAGTGCGTGTAAAGGAGGAAGAGGATCCCCATCACGAAGTTGAGATCGTGCATGTAAAGGTGGAAGAGACTCAATATGAGGACATTCCTGGAGAGATAGAACCGCAGGCGACCTTTGTGAGAAGAGCTGAAGGGAATGTTTCCCAGTGCTTGGAACAGGGAGAAGCCTGGGGAAACTGGCCCAGACCAGAGGGGCTACTGGGAAACCTCCCAGTGAAGAAAGAAGATGAATCTATTCCATGTGGGGCAGGAGACGAGGTTCTCCCATCCCAGGACACAAATCCAAAGGAAGAGAAACATTATTACTGCCTCCACTGTGGGAAAGGCTTCAGTGAGAGATCCCACCTTATCACACACCAGACAATCCACTCTGGAGAGAAACCCCTTCGATGCTTGGCCCCTGCGAAAATCTTCAGTAATCCTTCAGATTTTAATAACCCAGGAGGAAGCCACGCAGGAGAGAAACCCAACAGGTGCCTCGGGTGCTGGACCTGTTTCATTTGGAAGTCAGGCCTAATTTCACATCAGGCAGTCGACATAGAAGAGCAACTGCATAAGTGCTTGGATTGCGGGAAAAGCTTCATAGACAACTCAGACCTTGTAAAACATCAGGCCATCCACATATCAGAGAGACTCTTTAAATGTTTGGAGTGCGGGAAAAGTTTCATTGAGAAGTCAGACCTTGTTAAACATCAGGCCATCCACATATTAGAGAGACTCTTTAAATGCTTGGACTGCGGGAAATGTTTCAGAGACAGACCAGCCTTTCTTACCCATCAGGCAATCCATGCAGAGGAGAGACACCACAAGTGCTTAGACGGTGAGAAAAGCTTCATACGGAGGTCAGAGCTTGTGGATCATCAGGCAGTTCACAGAGGGAGATCCCAGAAGTGCATGGACTCTGAGACAACTTTTCCACGGAGGTCAAACCTTGTTAGGTATCAACCAGTTCACGCAGGAGAGCTACCCCATAAGTGCTTTTACTGTGGGAAAGGTTTCACACGGAAGTCGTTCCTTAAAGCGACGACGCCACAAATGTTTGGACTGTGGGAAAAGTTTCAGATGGAGTTCAGGCCTCGTTAAACATCGAGCAGCTCACGCAGGAGAGCGACCCTCTAAGTGCTTACACTGTGGGAAAGGTTTTGTATACAGGTCGGATCTTATTAAACATCAAGCCATCCACACGGGAGAGGGACCCCATAAATGCTTGGAAAGTGGGAAAAGATTCAGAAACAGATTTGCCCTTCTGTCCCAGCAGGTGACCCATGCTGGAAAGAAAACCCACGAGTGCTTACACTGTGGAAAAAGTTTCACTCGCAGGTCAGACCTTGTTAGACATCAGGGCAGCCACACTGGGGACAGACCTCATCAATGCTCAGACTGTGGGAAAAGTTTCATCCATAGGTCAGACCTTGTTAGACATCAGGCCATCCACAGAAGAGCCAGACCCCATACATGTTTGGACTGCCCAAAAAGTTTCATAAATAGATCGGACCTTCTTGAACATCGAGCAACACACACTGGAGAGAGACCCCATGAGTGCTTAGATCATGGCATTGTTTAGGAAACTCTTGGCAGGTGCTCTGGATTTCCCTGAATGTTTTCCCTCAAACTGAGACAAGGCTTTTAACTACAACACAACCTGAGCATGTGGGATGTGATGAATTCAGAAGCTGGGAGCAGCACAGCCTTTGTGGCAGGGAGTGTATTGATGAAGAGAGGCGGGGTGATTAAACTTACAGAAGAATTGTCCTTAAGATTAACTAAGGATCATTAGATGCTCAAGAAAACGAAGATGATCATGAGCCAGTTTGGCTAGTCTGCTGTTACATAGAACGGAGACGTATCCACCTTCTGCTGTAACCCACTAGACACCTGTCTCCTCCCAGAGCTGAGAGAAGCCAGGAGTCCGGACCGGGAGGGTCTCTCTGCAGAGTTAGTAGGAAACTAAGAACATACATTTAATTTTTGAAACCTCACCCAGTGTCCTTTAAGTGACTTGCCACATAATGTCAGCACATATTTGTGTTAGAACGGAGTGGATCTCATGGTTATTTAATGTTTTTTCTTGTATATACCCTCCCAGAGCTGAGAGAAGCCAGGAGTCCGGACCGGGAGGGTCTCTCTGCAGAGTTAGTAGGAAACTAAGAACATACATTTAATTTTTGAAACCTCACCCCAGTGTCCTTTAAGTGACTTGTCACATAATGTCAGCTCATATTTGTGTTAGAATGGAGTGGATCTCATGGTTTTTCTTGTATATAGGGATTAGATACATCTGCCAAAAATCCAGTGTTTGTATGTGACTTACTAGCCCTTGGAAAGAGATGATGGCGTGGGGGGTATTTGTGAGACAAGTTTGCTCCTACCCTCTAGATTTGCTGCTTGGCTGCTACTGAGCATGCTCAGTAACACTGCAGAAGCTGCTATCCGTCCCCCCTCCCTCCCTGCACCTACTCTGCCCTTCCCTACTATCACCACACCCACCACTTGCCCACTCTCTACTAAAATCTGAAATGGCGCCTTGCCCCCATGAACAGGAGGTGGGTTATTAAACTGAAGCAGAGCGACCTGAAAAAAGGATCTTGACTTCTTCCCAGCCCTAAGGCTTTGGTGCTCGCTTGGGTTCCCCCCCCAAAACAAGGGGTTTAGAGATGGTGGATTCTTTCTCGGGCCAAGGGGTTTAGAGATGGTGGATTCTTTTTCGGGCGCCTCCCTGCAGGGATCTAAAGAGAACTACGAGAGATGTCAGCTGATCAGAGGAAAGGAGGGGATGTGGGCTGGTGCCAGGTAGATGAGACTAGAAATCTCCTGTCTACAACGCAAAGAACATAAGAACGGCCATAGTGAGTCAGACCAAAGGGCCATCTAGCCCAGTGTCCTGTCTGCTGACAGTGGCCAAGGCCAGGTGCCCCAGAGGGAGTGAACAGAACAGGGAATCCTCACATGATCCGTCCCCTATCATCCATTTCCAACCTCTGACAATCAGAGGCAAGGGACACCATTCCTACCCATGCTGGCTAATAAGTACAGATGGACCTAACCTCCATGAATGTATCTAGTAAAAGTCCTGGTCTTCACAACATCATCTGGCAAGGAGTTCCACAGGTTGACTGAGTGCTGCATGAAGAAAAACTTCCTTCTGTTTGTTACCTGTTCATTTCATTGGTTGACTCCTAGTTCTTATGTGATGGGAACAAGTAAATAACTTTTCCATATTCACTTTCTCCACACCTGTCATGCTTGTATAAACCTCTATCATATCTCCCCCCCCTCCACCTTAGTCTCCCCTTTTCTCTCCCAGTCTTTTTAATCTCTCTGTTCCAAACCCCTAATAATTTTTGTTGCTCTTTTCTGGACCTTTTCCAATGCCACTATATCTTTTTTGAGACAAGGTGTCCATATTTATACGCAGTATTCAAGATGTGGGCATAACATGGTTTTACATAGAGGAAATAAGACATTTTCTGTCTTATTCTCTCTCCGTTTTTTAATGATTCCTAACATTCTGTTCAGCTT